TGAGCTTTCTTGAATAGGTAAAATGTTAACAGTGAATTTTTTTTTTTCCATTTCTTTTCCTTTTCTTTTTTTTGATCTTCTGCTTATAAATGTTGATAATTGATATGATATCTGTGTAGTTTCTCATACTGATAAGTAAGGGAAAGAAAGCAATTTTTTTTTTAACTTCAGTATTCATCTCATTCATTTTTGCTCTGATATAATCAAGTATGTTTATCAGTACAGGTGACCATTATTGATAATCCGATGAATACAACACACTTACGGTTAGATGACGTTATGTCATTCATTGATGATCAGGTTAAAATTTTCTAGAAATTCAAGTTTATATAATATAATTTTTTTGATGTAAAAATTTCTTTTGATGTTTTTGATCATTTTTAATTTCAAAATAAAATTCAATGTAGAAGTGATTAATAAGAAATTATCAAAATATTTTGGAATTAAATTAAACTTGAATATAGTATTTGTTGAATCAGATAGTATTTAAGGTATTTTTAGAACTTAAATTTTTATTGTACATTAAAAAAAATGAAATATTGTTAAGTTGTGCTTTGCTATGATTAACATAGCTATTAATATACATTTATTATTAAATTTTAGAAATTAGACATCATCGAAATTTTCTTTATTTCAACATTTTGATTTCTCTATTTTTCGATAAATTATTTCAGATATTGGTGATACCGACATTGGATAAGGATGTGAGAGCTTATTTGGATGCTGAATTGTTTAAAAAATTCCGTGATGAAGTGGTTTTAATCGATTTGCCAACATATTTGGATGAGGATAGGAGAGGAAATTGCGGCATGTACACTGCTATATTGGCTACTGATAAGTAATGATTTTACTTTATAGGATTTTAAATTGATGTCAAATCAATGAAGCATTATTAGTGCTTAGTTTAAAGTTTTGAAAAGAAGTAAATGAAAACAGTATTGATAAGTGAGAGAAACATTTAAAGTACAATTTATAAAATCTTCAGTTATAGTGAACAGTCAAGTAAATTTTTATTTTGAAATTCTAAGCCTTTCACACCTTTTCATGGAGAAAGATCTGAAATTGGAAACATGCAAAAAATTAAACTGTATTGATCAAAATTTATTCTCCATAGTATCATAATTCATATATTCAATTTCAATATCCTTCCATAGTTTCATAATAGATAGTATCATAATTTATAATTCCATAATATCATAATTTATATATTTACATGCAACTGAAATTTCATTATCACGAGAGCATTAGAGTGAAATTTCCCAAATTTAATTTATTCCATGGAATTTTAGCCTTTTGAATTTAAAAAAAAACAATTTTTCTTACTATTTTTAGATTTGTAAAAAAACTATTTTTTTTATCTTTAGATTTGTAAAAAAAAAAAAAAAAAAACTATTTTAGATTTGTATACGTGCCTGTATTTGGAAATGATCCGGGAAATTGGAAGAGAGGACATTCAACGATGATGGATAAAATTATCATACATATGATTGAGGTCTTCTGAAGATTTGACAATTTTTATCGTTAATATTTCACTCTAAAAGTTGCAGGATAATTTTGAAGGATTTTCAAGATTTAAAGTTTTTTTTTTGTCATCAATATAATATAATATTAGCAGTTAAGTTGAATAGAAAAAAAAGATGTAGTAATTTTCGTAGTTCAAAAATGAATATTTTCAATTTCAGCTCTTTTATTTTTTCAATCTTGAACTGTTTTAGGTAAATACGCGAAAAACCGTAGTACCAGTTAATGTACCACGAATAATTTGTGAACGTGGGATTTCGTTACGTTCTCTAGCTTGGACATTACGAGGTAACGTTGCTGATCACATGATTCACGTTGCACGTGGAACTCCAGCAAAAATGTTCGCATGATCTCTTTCATAATGTAGAAAATTGCTTTGTAAAAATCTGCTCAATTAAGTGTCATTTTTTTTTAAAAAAAAAAAAAACTCTATCACTAAATTCTATTGAAATAATTATCAGTACTGCATGTTAGCAAAAACTTTGAAATCAGTTTTAATTAAGTGATCGCGTAGTTTCAAGTACTACATAACATTAGTGTTGAATGACAAATTCCCGAGGTTTAATTGGTATATTTTTTATGAGAACGATTAATTGATCGAAGCCGACGAAATATTCCAATATTTAATTCTAGAATTAATTGAAAATCGATTTACTTACTTGCTTAGTTGCTAACTCTCAGCAATTTTATTTCATGTATTTATTTTTCCGTTTCAACAATTCTCTATGACCAAATTATTCATTTGTAATCTAGTAAAAAGTTAAGCGTTATTTATTGCACGATATTTTTCTTTTTGATAAATGGTATTGCTATTGATTTGATTATTCAAATATTAATTCCTAAATTCAGGTTTTTGTCTTATCACTTCATTAACTTATATGTTCATTTATTCATTAATTTATTTATAAAAATTTGTGATGCAATAATTACAGTGCCTTCATATTTCATATAATAAATATTAATAAATTTATTTCTTTCATGCCAATTCCATTTCATGCCGTAATACTACGTTAGTACTTTTTTATATTAAATTTCAAAATTTTTCAAATATTTATTTAAGACATTTACTTAAATTCATATTTTTTAATGGTTAATACCTGTAATTTTAATATTACTAAATATAATTTCAAAATATGTGTCTTCTCATACACCGTAGTTCTATCCTGACAATGTCATCATATACAATTCTGCGTTAAATAATGCACCTTACGTGAGCTTTATATTACATTTTTACATGAAATTCACAAAAACTGAAAATAATCCTAACAAAATTTAACTACAATTTTGCAAATAACTTCAAATTGATACTAAAATTAATCGTATTCAAATTCACCTAGAAAAAATTTTATTCCTTTCCAAACATATCAATTAAATTCTCTATTCAATTTTATACAATAAAAATCACGGTAACTTTCATATCGTTACAACTGACAAAGTAACAATAATATATTGTTAAATATATATTCAAATTTTCATCTATCAAATGAATCAACGGTTACTTTTATTTCACCTCGTCATTCTATTCTTTTCAAAATTTTCAAATTAATTGCTACTAAATCCTAATGTATCACAATAAATCACTTCATGAAATTCTAAATACTAAATAATACGGTAATAAAACACACTATGTATTACACTATTAAAAATTTTAAATCTTCCATTCTAATAAAATCATTCAAACTTATCACTAATAAACAGCATAATTAATTTTATCAAAAGGAACACTGTTTTTTCTTTTTTAAATAATATAGTAGATTTAAATCGGTGTTTTATTACCTCAATTTATTCTTTGAGAAATCTATATTACTTTCAAAAGAAAAATTCAAATAATAAAAACCTAAACTTGTAAATGAACAAAATAGTACAATCATATACTGACATGTAATGCTAAAACAAATTAATTAATTCCATGTAAAATGAAAAATAACGTAAATAAAAAGAAAAAAGAAAGGACAAAAAACACTGAAAATGACATCACAGTTGAAATTTCCTGAGGAAAAAGGGAAGTACGCAATACGATATGATGTGATTATTGCATGCGACAATAGCGCTTTCTTTTAGAGTTCGATTTTGATGAGTTTAAGTCAATTCCATTCAATGATTGCCGTTCTTGCTGCTGGAAACTTCTGTAAAAAACAAAATTCAAATTTTGAGGATAATATTAAAAATTATTTTGATCTAGCCTAATTAATCTTACTTTTAAAATTCTTTCCTGCTGGTCCAAAATGATTAAATTTTACATTTTTGATTATGCTATAATCAAAAAAAAAAAGCAAAAAATGCAAAATTATTTCTTTAAACTAATATCCATTCTCAATTTATTCTTCGGCTAGTATTCCTAAGCTAATTAATGAAATACGGAATTAATCAATAAAATGAGTGATTATTGACAAGATAAGATGACTATATATGGAAGAAAAAAAAAATGGAGAATTAAACGAACCGTATTAATCGTACTAAATTATGAAACGATTCATCGACATTCATTCGATGTTTTGCTGAACATTCCACATATGGTACTCGTAACCTCCTTGCTAATTCTTCTGCTTCTTGTCGTGATATCTTAAAATTTTTGTTAAATTATTTTAAAAAAAGAGAAATGATTATAAATTTAAAAAAAATCCCTGATTATGAATGAATTATCACTTGAAACATATTAATCTAATTTGTCATTTATCATAATCAATTAATAATTGGATCATGAAGGAATTAGTAATAATAATCTGATTTCTCCCCTTTTTATATTTCAACATTACTCGTTCATAAATTGATAACATACGTATCAGTTAATGAGAAGGAATGTGAAAAGGGAGAAAGATAAAAATATTGCTATCATTAATCGTCGACCCAAATTAATCACCCACAATTCTTAAACACTCAAATTTTATCAGCCATTGTTCTTTATCATTTAAAATTTCATGTAATAAATTAAAGTACCACTCACGAGAGAGGAAGTAGAGCGAATGTTTATCATTCTCTCTTTCATTCTAATGATTTCATTTCATTATATGAAAAATGGGACAAATATATTGGTTTTACTAATCATTAACATTTCATTATCTGTTAAAGCATTTCATGAATTATCATTATTAAAGCATAAAGCATTTGATGATATTAAAATATTTGATGAATTATCATTAGCTAGGTTCAGCTGTTAAAATGAATATTGATTATACAATTGATTAAGATTTAAATTTTCCTATTTTTAAAATTAAATTTCAATAAAACGATAAAATCGAGCAAAACTTACAAGCCTATCACTGTTGAGATCAGCTTTATTGCCAATAAGTATTATTGGAAATTCATCCCGATCCTTCACCCGAAGTATCAATTTATGTAACCGGATAGCTTCCTCAAAACTGTAACAAAATATTAATTAAATTAAAGAATTTTCACCGTATAATAAAATATTGATAACAAATGGAAAATAATATTGATAGTTATTCTAATAAATAATAATACAATTATTTCTTCATATCTATCAGATCATCTTCTTAATTTAAAGCAATTTGAATCATTTTGCTTTACTAAAATAAACCGATCATATCATAATTCGATGATTTTTTTTTTTTGTTTCTCTCCTACAACATACTTTTTTTCTTCCAATTTTCAATCGCGAAACTACATTTTTTTTTTGATTAGTAAAATTATGCAAAAAAAAAAAAAAACGAAAGGGAGAAAATAGGAAGAAATAAACAAAATGCAAATAGTTTACAAATGAGAGTATTAAAGGACAATAATAAAAATTCAAAAGTAAATGAGTTCCGGTAGATTTGAAATTTGCACTTTTTGAAAGATTTTTTACACATTTCTTGAAGTGGATCGTATTTAAACATTCATTTAACCCTCTTCACCCTTCTCCGTTTACCATTTGTCTATCACACTATCAATTAAATACTCGATCATAAAGGAAATAATACTTACCCTGCAAGCCTTCTAATTGCAGGGTAATTAATGACAATAAAAGACAGCACTAACGAGAAACGGAAGAGGAATGAATTTATGAGCTAAAAAAAAAAATTGTGTATTTAAAAAAAAAATTATTTTTTTTTTGCCATTTATATAATTCTTATCGTTGTCATTATCATTGCTAAAATAAAATAATATCATCATTTTCAGAATATATCATTTATGTAAAACTTTTTAGTTGCATTGATAAATCAGATATTTTATGCATATATCTTTTTTTTTTTTTAAATTTAATACGAGACAATACAGAAGTATATGATAGGATTTCAGTTAAGTAATACTTAAAATTCATTTATACTTTCTAATTATACCATTCTAACTATCCTCATTTATTTTTATTACTATCAAAATGTTCCGTTTGACATAAATTTTTTTGCATGCAAAAAAGATTTTGAATTTGCTAACAAAAGAAAAAAAAAACATTTCTTTCAATGTTTTCATGTCAGCAAATGGCTTTTTTCCATTGTTACGAATCACATCAAATGCAAACATTTTAACAATTTCTCGAGAAATCTGTCAGCTAAGAGTGATTCGTCCCACTTTTTACCTCATTCCTCTTTTCGAAATTTCAAAAAGAAATATTTTTATTTTATTTGTACAATTTATCAAATACATTTGACTCCGTTCTTTTACTTTGTTCTGTCTCATTTTAACAATTTAAAAAATTGTTGCATTAAGCTACTGCCAAATTTAATGAAATTGATTAAACGAAATAAATTTCAACATTTTATCAAAACATTGCCTTTCCATTTAATTTCAATACATGATTTTAATTTCTTTTGTAATCGATGAGAAAATTATTCTGATTGTAAAAATGCAAATCAGTGTGTGGTAACTGATATCAGAGAAAAAAAAGATAAGATAAATAAAAAAAAAAGTGTGCGGTAATTGATATCGGAGAAAAAAAAAAGATAAGGACACAAACAAAATTGAAAGTATAAATAACCCATATAAACATCACTCATACTGATATTACCGTCATCATTTCTACTACTACCGTTATCATCACCGGCATTTCTTTTTTTCTTACAACAGTTTGTTTATAGCAGTAATTACTGCAACTATAAACAGTCCCAGCCTTACTAATAACCTATTTTTATTGTTATTTATTAAAACGATCTCTAATTTATTTTTATACTTGACATATAACTTTCTCAATTTCATAAATACATTTTTAACCTTTAGTTTTAAATTCATTTCTCAATTTTTAACAAAAAAAAAAGATGAAATACAACTGTTGTAATCACTAGCATTATCAGTATTATTTCACTAATGTGATAACAGCTCAATGCATAAGTTTAATTATTTTCTATGCTTACCTATTTAATGGTCACTAGTAATTTGTTTATTTTAATTAAATTTTTAGTGCCAAATTAAAACA